GCTCCTGTCAGAGACCACACAGAGGTGGCCGAAGGAGACCCCGAGGCGAGCCCCCCTCTGAACACCCCACAGCCCCAGTCACCCATCTCAGGGGATGGTCCCAGACAAGAAACCATCAGCAACAGAGGGTTAAGCAGGTCTCATTCCCAATTCTGCCACCTCTACTGTAGTTTGAACACCTGCTTCGGTGTGACTCCCATTATTTTTTTTTTTTTCCCCCCTTTCAGAAGGGAGCCTGAAATTTTCCATTCCCCTGTGGGCTCTGTAACACTGCTTTGATACAATGCAGAATCGGATCCTCAGACAAAAAAGGGCAAACAAGTATTACTGAGCTGAAAGCTGAAACAAAAGCTTGCAAAACAGTGACGGCTGGGACCACGCTTTAAGGCTGTGTGTGCCAAGGAGTCTCAATGATGGAAAAACCCAACAGCGTAAGAAAAACATACGATAGGAATAGGAAAGGAGCTAGAAGGAAGCGGCGTATAAAAGCATGAGGGAGGAAGAGCCTGAAATGGTGAGGCTGTCCCCTCTTCGGGGCTAATGTTAGACTATTCCCATAAAGACATTCTCCAGTATAGCTTCACCCACTCGAGGATATTTTTGAAGCTTGGTTAGGAACTGGGAAGGAAGCAGAGGCTTAGCAACGGCATCAGGAATCCTGGTCTGTGCTGGCGAGGGGACAGGGACTGGGTGCTGGGGGCCCCCCGAGGCCTGCCCAGCATGGCAGTACCCCCATGCTCCGTGCACACAGGCAGAGAGCAGCGCGGCGCCGAGGTACCCGGGGCACCTCCAGCACCAGCCGGTAAATTAGCCCACGGAGAGCTGTGTGCTTACCCTGGCAGCCCTGGGTCCTGCGCCCAAGCTGGCACATCTGCAGCCAGCTGGAGTTCGGTGCGTCTTGCCATAAAGCGTGTTCTCTGTGCAAGAGGTAGACGAGCACCCCAAGAAAAAACAGAAGCTTACATACAGCCCACACGTCCTGTGCTGTAGCCCAGCATACAGAAAGGGACTTGTTTTTACCAGTTCACCATCAGAAAGTCTCAACTTTGTCTTTGGGTGAGACTCGGGACTGGTCCCTCCTCCCTTCAGACTGCCTTAGCAGTGGTGATGTTTCAGGATCTGCACTGGAAACAAACCGTGGCAATTACAGCCCTGTCTCAAAGGGGACAAAACAAAACAAGAATACAGCTTTGGAAGAGGGGGGACCGGCAGCACTTGCTAGCGTGCTTCCAGAAGGCTGGCTGCTTTGCCTCTTGCCAGCACAAAAGCAACACAAGAGCCTTGGCTTTCTGAAGCACCTGGCTGCAATCGCTCGGCTCCTTGGCTCCTCAAGGCAGCTTTATGGCCAGGTTCGGTCTGAAGCCTTTTTATCGGGAGATACAATTAGCTTAATAAGGGAACAATTTTCTGTTTGGTCAGATTGAACCATTTCAGCTTGTGTTTTTTACTGTTGATTTTAATGGCTAAATTTAGCCTATCAAGCCCTTACTGCAGCACGGCGACTCCCTCTCCCCGAGCCCCATTTACAAGAGTTTTTATTCCTGACAACTTGGTTCTGCAGTGCAGCGAGGGCCAAACTGTGCTTCCTCAGCACAGCCCTCCGAGACGACGACTCTGCCGAACAGTTTGGTCTCCTGGGGCTGAGCCTGTCCATCCTGCAGAAGCCAGCTGTGCCTTGACACAGGAGCCTTGTTCTGGCAGTGGAGGAAAGCATCTCACATTCATATGAAGCAAGGTAAATTTAATCTGCTCTAGCCACAGCCTCTACATAAGAGGATCCGAGGCTCTGCAGAAGAAAGGCCGGTTGACTTGATAGCTGAAATTCAACACATCCCCCATCCAAACTCCCTGTCTGGTTTCATACAGAAAGTTCAGTATGAGGGCAAACTGGTTTTGCTTCAGGTAGAGCGACCATTTAATTCCCTCACAATTCTGATTACAAAATGCTCTGGGAAATTTCAGTGCTGAGTTGGAGCAACATCACCATGGTAATAACTGGGAGGCCCTACGATTTTATTTGAGACAATTCAGAAAAAATATCCTGTGACATAATCCCCCAAGTTAGGTCTGCAATGCGCTAATGTAAAAACTATATTTACTCCCATGGTTTAAATCATGACTTTAATCTTGGTTGCTCCCAGTACTGAAATGTGACCTCATGGTATAGATTACAGAAACTCTCTGCCACATGGATCATCAGAGCGGATTTCTTTCCTGCATAGTACGGGGCTGAAGTCACGTTGTCTGCCAGGGCAGTGCCTGGGGGCCGGAGGGGACCTCTACCCAGGGCTGGGGACATTTCAAATGCTGCGTGTTTTTCATAAAACATCCACTTGGCAGCTGTGGGGCCGTGGGAAGTTAAAACGCCAGTTTCACAGGAGGAGAAGCAGCTCATGCTGCTGAAACAGCACCATGGAAATTAGTTTCTATCATCAGGTCAATCATTTAACAACGCGATCATAGGAAATAATACACACGGAGCCTATTCATTATTATCCCTCTGGCTAGCTGTCAGACTGAATGCCACCGGGGGGAAAGGGAAGAGTAAGAAGAGAAGATGGCGAGAGAAATCCACCTCTTTCTGTAGAAAAAGAAACTTTTCAAAGGCCAGGGCTTCCCCAGAAACCACCTGTAGTTAGGCAATCCCAGTGCAGATCCCCTGAACACCGTGGTTTGTGCCCCAAATTGGAGCAGTGCCGTAACCCCGGCAGTGGTGCTGACAGGGACTCCCTCACTGCTTCCCAGCGGGATGCCTTCAGCCCATTCCCAGCAGGCTAGTTTCAAATCTCCTCTCAAAACATACTCAAGAGTAAAACCTGCCTCTCGCTGTCCTGCCAGGCAGCTTTTCCAGCCAGGACACAGCCCCTCATCGTGCACATCGGCTCCTCAGCACCCTGCTCCATTAATTCATTTCCAGGAGGAAGCGGGAAGGAGTTGCAGTTCCTTCTCCAGTATAGTTCACATCCTGAAACAACCAGGGAAGCCGCCTCATCTTTTTCTCTGCGTGCGCGCACACATTTGATTTGAAGTTCTACCTTTCCAATGGGGGAACCGAAGTTGCTCAGCAAAGCCCAACTGAAACCCACACTAAGTCTGCTGCCTGGAAAAAGCAAACTCTTGGTACTTTCTGTGGTAACCAAATAGCAGCACCACCAAGTGCAGCAGCCAAGGCACTCTCACGCACACGCGAATGCATTTACACCAGGGAGTTGTCTGGCTAATTACTTGCAAGGGCTACACACACAAGGTTGCCTTACCCCTTTCCTTATGTATTTGGTTGGATGTCCTTTATCTTCCTTTCCAGTGTTTCTAGCTGGGACTTCAGCAGCCTTTTAATGTTTTTGTCCTTTAAAAGAAAAAAAAAAGTAAAAATAAAATAAAAGCAAAGCCAGTGCCAGCAGCTGACTGCCTGAGGGCAATCCTACAGCAAGGATCACTCACCTGCACGCTCACAGACGGGGCAGCCAACAGAGCAACACACAGCCAGCGTTTTAAATGCTTGACGCATCCCTTGAAATATTTTCCTGAACACAGGTGCCTCGTGTTCCCTGGGCCACGTCGAGGGGCATCCTACCTGGCAGCTCCTGGGGGCAGCCGTGGGGAGCCCTGCAGCCGGCAGCGCAGGGGAGGGACAAGCACTTCTCCCCTCTGCAGCAGGCTGGTCTCCGCGGGGATCTAGCTGCGGCATTGGAAATCTCCATACGCGAGGGAAGATCGGGCTGGCTCTGAGCACACCCTGACTCCAGCCTCCTGCAGGCCGGGGCTCCCCCTCACACCCCCAGCACGGCAATTGTGTCCCCTGCAGCGTGAGACCAGGCAGAAGCCTTAGGCAGTAGGGCTGAGGAAACTCCCCTGCGGCACTCACTGTATCCTGCAGGGCAGATACGTCCAGCAAGGCACCAGTGAGCGGCACTGGGAGGCTCAGGTCCCTGCTGGGGTGTCTGCAGGCAGCTCATGAAAAATTATTTCTACAAGGCCTTTCCATGAGGAAGGTCTTGCCGACGTACCAGGGAGGGCAAGTTCTCTGAGGGATTCTTTGAACTGGATGTGTTTGATGCATGAATTACAGGCGCACAGAAGGATTTTTACATCTCCCCAGGCCACAAAAATGGTCCCACCTTGCCACGTATTGAGGTTTCAAGATACTTCTCTAGAAAAAACAACTTTTTAAGAAAAAAAGTTCGTTTCATTTTTATAGAGACATGGATGCTGAAGCTGAAGCATTTCCTTCTAAGTCAATGAAAACTAGTAAGTCTGTTTAAAAATTAAATTCAGCTAAGTTGGAGAGTCCAACTTTTTCTTTTTACAGATAGCTTCACAGCACGATCCTCCCTTCCTCATCCTATCCCTGAAACCTGGCTCCTTCTCTCCCCTGTCCTCCAGCTGCATCAGTCCTGCATCCTCTTCCTCAGTCACTAAAGCCACTATGGTTTTAGCAACACCCGTGTGCGCCCAAGCCCACCAGCCCAGCAATGCTCACCAGCACCAGGACAGGGTGGTGTTCGCCATCCCCACTAGCTGGGAACCGACCTGGAAGAGGAGGAAGCCCACTACGCAGTGTTAGCCGTGCAAAGTCTGAGCATTGGTCCTTCCATTAAGTATAACTATATGATCTATACATATATTTATAAAATATAAATCAGTGCAATGCTGAATCATTTCAGGGGTGCGCTCACAGGCCGAGGACACTGGAGACATAAGCCTGCCATGGATTTTAACTACGACCTTCAGCCACCAAGACCCACGTTTCAGCCTCCCAAGGAGGCGTGTGAGAAGAGCGCTGTTGGAACTTGGCCAAGGGCAGTCAGGTCAGGCTTGGGCCGCTCTCAGATGAAGACCGTAAAGATCAAAGTCAGGTTTGATAGGAAGGATGAGTTGAAATGAGGAACCCACAGAAGCAGAGGAGCCAGCCAAAGGCAGGAGTGCAGTGAAGGTCAAGGCAGGAGGGAGCACAAGGAATAGCAGGGCCACGCAGGCCGGTCAAAAGCAGAACCAAGGTTGGAGTAACAAGAGGAAGAGACAGAGTCTGGGGTCGATGACTGCGCTGGAAAACCCAGCAAGGGGGCCACACAGCATGCTGCCTACGGGGTACACCCGGCATTTAGCCCTCTTCCAACCTGACTTCTCCCTGCCAGCCTGTTACAAGAGCCAGGTGCAGGTCCACTTCCTTCAAGCACAGCAGCCAGCGCTGCGAGGCGAGGATGCACCCACAGCACGACTGTAGGTCCTGATAAACACTCGCTAATACTTGTGAGGAGCTCCCAATACAACATGGTTAATACAAAGCATGGGTATTCAAAGCTCCTACCCCCTCGAATACCTTACTTTCAGTCTTGCCTGTCTTTTTATGAGCTGCAATAAATCCCGTAAAGCTTCTGCCCACTGCCACTAGGGCAACGTACTGACTAAAATGCTTGAATGTATTAATGCCGCTCAAAGAAATTTATTGTTTTATTCTCTGTATTGAATTCTTTTAATTGTAAAGTGATAGCTGAAGTGAGAAATCAGTGTTTCAGTAGCACTTCACAGGATAACAGCATTTGGCTGTCATCTCACCACTAACAATAAATGTAGTAATAAAACTGTTTTCAGAGAGAGCTGCAAAATGTTCCCTGATGGAAACTGCTACATTAAATTTCCCTTGTTTGGCCTAGTGGGCGTCAGAAGGGACAGCAGCTTTCCCCAGCGCTGACGTATCAGGACGTGGTGCTACGAGGATACAAGATAAGAGTGCAGTTTACTGGAGACCAGTGATTGCAGAAAACTCAGCTGTTTAAAAGAATGAAACGGTACTTTTAACAAAGTAA